TTTTGCTAGCTTTCTACATCGTAATTTTTAAAATAAGAATGTCTTTTGCAGTATCGGAAGAGGTATTTTATCTCATTCCTCTTGTACAGCTTTCCAAAATCAAAGTAGGGGGGGGGTGCAGGTCGACCAAAAGCGTAAAATTCCATCAGGAGATTTAATAGGGATATGAGTGAAGGGTTATGGCCTTGACATCCGTTTCTTGTTCCATTTTTTTTCTAGGCCATTAGCAGTAAGTAGATTTTGAAGTGCGGCTGCTTGCTTTATCTTGATACAGTTCTATTGATTGATAGTACTGTGGATAAATAGAAGGTATTTCATATTTGAAAATTGGGTATAAAATATGTTCCTGATAATATGTTGAGTTGATCTTAACATATTTCCCCATTCTCTTTATTTTTAATTTGCCGTTATATGAAAATCCAGCAGAAATCCCTCTGAAAAACTTTCTTTAGATTCTTTACATCATGTTTTAAAATTTTCTTCTCTTTGATGATAATAAATCGATCTCTTTTTATTGCAATCATTTAAATACACTCAATATTCATTCATCGTGACAACATTTTTCCCTTTTTCTCAGGACAAATGTTTCTCATAAAGAATTCTGCAGTGCGTTCTGCATTCGGTGATATATCGTGGAGAAGGACTATGTATTTCATTATATTTTTTTTTCCTTTTTAAGAATTGAATCAGCATTAATCACTTTATTTACAATTGACACTGAGCATTTTAATTATTTTGCAAGTGTCTTCGAAATTTCTTTTAAGACTAAAGATCTTACCTTTGCTGCATTCGAAACATTTTTACACTGGATATGTATTTGGAATAATTTTTCCATTTGAAGCCAGACTTTGATTTCCCCCTCCCCCGTCTTGTTAGGGCAGTACTAGTTATAGTTTTTCGATGCCTAAATGTATTTAAGTATTGTGGTCAAAACTTCACCGTCTATTTTTTAATGGTTTCTTGATAAGCTATGAAGATCAAATTTTGCATGCACGCATACTTTGTGAATGACAATACAATGAATTAAAGCGTTCCCCCTGAATGTGATTTAGATTTTTAAAAATTTATGAAATGAATATTTTCACATATGTTTGCTTAACGAGGAGGTTCGGATAGAGCGGAAGGGGAAATTTTAAAATGAATTTTAAACGAGACTTTTAATATAATTGCCATATTTTTTACCATTTGACATTAAGAGAATTGTTGGAACTAAAAGAGTGATTATTCATTCCTGAAAAATGAATTTTAAACTAAATAATTTAATTGATAATGGGACATTGATACTAAAGTGAAAATAAAATAATAATAAGTTATAAAATAAGCTTTTACTTAAAACTCATAAAATAATCCATGAACTAAAAGGAGAAAAATAATTTACCATGTAGTTTCGAGCAAGAGATTAAATAATTCTCTTTACAAAATTCATCTACAATTTTATTATTCGTGAATAATAAAAGCATGAGCGCCTAAATTAGTCCATTCAACAAAGGGTTTGCCGAAGAAAAAAGTATAAAAGTCACCGGTTCTATAAGTTTTTTGTGGTGCTAAATCCAAATGTTAGGTTCATCTGTAGTGTTCAAAAACGCTTTCAGTTCGAAACCCGCCTCTTAATTTGCCACATCCTCAAACATCCAGGTCTCAGGCATCACAATAAAATCGGTCTGCTCTATTACTTCATCTGATGTAAGATCATGATAATACGCAGCCAAACTCTGAATGTTTAAGTTAGTGATAATCAATACAAAAATTAACGATAATCAATCGCTGTCAGTAGTGAAAAATTGGCTTGCTCTTTCAACGAGTGTTCTCAGGCAGTGTCGATCAAGTTTGGAATACTCATAATTAATTTCTTTAATTGTCCGTGCAATATTTCCTTTACTGTAACTAAATTTGAACTCATTCTTGTTGTAATTCAAATAGAAATCATCTAATGTTTTCACCCGACAGTATCTAACATATACCAACCGATTCTGATGAGATTTATCATAGCTATATACTGTTTCATCGAATATAGCTCCTTGTGATTCATGAATGGCAATTGCACCAGCTGGCACTAACTGAAATTGTTTGCGCTTACATTCAGTAACTCCACTAAGATTGATGTTAGCAGTTCTTCGGTGACTAGACTTCCATGTTAAACTATTATCCGAATGTTTGAACTTAGCTAAAGCATGTGGTCGAACTTTTATTCGTGCTAATTTACGCAACGTAAGTCCACAGTCGCACAACTTTGGTTTTTATCATTACACTCTTCCTTATCCATATCTATTTTAACCATTCTCAAAATACTTATATCTCCATTTAACAAACCATCTTCTACATCTATATCCGAAATTTCAATGAATGGTATCCCCTCTTTAGTTTAAGCGAGTGTAGTATGGAAGACCCCTTACTTCAACTAGTTTTAATTTATGCAATTTATTTCTCGCACTCACTATTCTTATTGTAAATGGTGATTACATCGAAAGCAATGCATTCATGCTCAGCTTGTGCGATACTGTGACCGTTATGCTTAACGTCATTTATATATTTCTGTGATACAAGCGTATTGCGTTAGGAATATTTTCCATGTACCATTTATCAGTGTAGAACTTACCGCCCACCAGAAGGGAATGCGCGGGGGCGCGGATGAACTCCACTCGCTCTGCCATGAAAATTCCCTTGATTATCTCTAACTTTGTCACACAGCTGGGACTGAAACTTAATACCAAATTCCAAAATGTATTTCATGTTTTTTAGTCTACGCTTTCATCAATCAAATCAAATATAAAAGAAGTCTCAATCTTATGCATTTGCGGAAATCTAGACGCTCTGAAATCGACAAAAGCGTCAAAATTTTTCTTTTCACAGACCGCCATGGAGGAACGATGTCTATGTTAAAAAAGTCACTTTGAGCAGCGAAGTCCTGTGAACAGACAGTTGATGTAAAAGATGGAAATGTGCTGGAATGAATTAGTGCATAAATTTCATATCTGAATAAGGCTCAGGATTTCTTCCTCATTTTCCTCCGGGTAGATCAGTCTGGTCATCTCCATATCATCTTTTAGGCTGCCCTGTCTTACGGGTGTTGTGCTGATTGAATTAGGATCTTTCGAGTTTGGCATTGGTTTCAATGAATAGTTCGGACACGTCCAATATTTCCCTATGAAGTTAGAGCCTTCAACTCAGCTATATGTTGTCTCGAGACAACAGCAGGCTGTGTAGTCTCACAAAGAATGCCACCAATCGAGGGGAATGTGTTGTGCTTATCAATAATTCGCACTTTTAAGTCTGCTTTATCGTACATCATTTGAGAAAGTCCTTATTGATTAAGAATCATAGGTGGTTGAAGGATGGAGGACATTTCGAAACGTGTGACTTCTATGTATCATAAGCAGAACCCTAATGAACTGAGCATATCAATTAAGCTGCGCGATCCGTACTTTCTATACAAAAAGGCCGGAACCCCCGACTTACAGGGGAGATATAAATGACCTTGGCTCACGGCTGTAAGTAAGTCAGCTTTTGCAAGTGATTTCTTCTTCCATTTGTCAATATTTCCTTTCTTCTTACTCATCACTACAAGATCTGTAAAAGCTTGAAGAGATTGTGAAATGAGATCCTGAACACCTTCCAAAAATCTATCTGTGGAAGGGTATCGTACACTTGGAATCGTGTATGTTCAACAGCAGGCTTAAACGCACTTAATTTTTAGCCTTTCCCTGTCCTCTGAAATCTTTCCTGATAACATGAATTAGTAATAACATTGTGACCTGTAGGCCTGAAACGTACAATGTAAAGCATATTTAGCTATTGCAAATATTCCATCGCCATACCTTTCAAGGAGGCATGCTGATGATGAGGACGAAAGCCACCTTCAATCTCATTCATCAGTTCGTTAATTGTAAATTAGCATTCCGCTACATTGTTTTGAAGAAACGCGAAAATTGATTGCATTGCTGCTTCCGCATCATTTCTACGTCTGCCAGTATCTGGTTTTCCTTATTTGTCGGGTAGCTTTAGAGTCATGCAAAAGAAATAGTTTTGTGCATCAGTGTGGCGGGGTGTAATTCGTACTAAACGAGATACGCTTCAGGTGTCGAAAAGAAAGTCACATGTAGCTAATAAGTGCTGGCCTACACTAAAATCTAGTACATTATACGTTAATAACCCCAGAAAGGGAAATGCATAAAACGTTTCACTTACCCACTACTTGGGTGCAGTGCTGTTCAATAAATACACTCGTAATGATATCAATTCATTTATTTAATCATTCACGAATGAATACCTTCTTATTCTAGATTAATTATAGTACATACGAACATTACGACTACAGACACTGGCTGCACACGCCTCACGTGCCTCCAATTACTTTTGGATATAATGTGTCCACATCGTAGGTTGTCGCTTTTTGCAAACATTAATTCATTCTCACTTGCACTGGTGCAGTTAAGCTACTCACAATGTATCACTTATTTTCTGCTAAAGAGATTCGTGGTATGGAATTCACTTCATTTTTTAAGCTCGAACATTACGCCTTTTTCAACTACCTCACACCTTTCACGAAATGCGTGTCACGTGCTTCAATTACGAAGAAGAAATGCACAAATGTTTAATTTTTATCATTAATATATCCGAATGGCTATCAATGAAATATTGTTCTACACTATCTTTGTGGTTATCCTGCAATTCTTTTATAAATGCTTTTGTGTATGGATCCTTTTGCTGTTTACTAATTATGTTTTGAATTGACATATTGTTATTGGTAATGTTCTTACGACTGGTGCTTACTTTGGTCTGTTCTTACAACTGGAAGAGAGAAGAAAAAAAACTTTCACTGTTTAATAACTTCATAAATGTCCAGCTACTTAATTAGCAGACAATGTTTGGAAATGGATAAGAAAAATACTTAACTTCTATTAAGTAGATTTTGAATAATAGGGATGTAGCTTATAAATGCAGTGTTTTCGAAATTAACTTACTGCTAACTTTAATGTGAGTGTTGAAATATCTCTTTTCAGGTGGCTGGTATTGCTTCGATGAAAAGAGTTGCAACCATCGGTGGATGCGGTCTCGGAACCTCATGTCATCTACTTTATGGCCAGAAACAAGGAGTGGTAAGACAGTAAGGCCATGGATAACATCTATTTTACATAAACATGCTCTGTATAACTTTAATTTTTGATATTTTGATGCTCTACTCTGGCAGCTTTGCTTCAACGTGCAGCTTACTTCACATTGCTCATTTTTCACATCTCCTGCTTCGAAATAACCTAATGACTCTGCAGATACCTAATAGGCGACCAAAGAGACGGACAGTTACAACCATGCCTTTTCCGAGATTCGAACCCGGGCTGTTTGGTATCGCGGTCGGCTCCCCTAGCTACTATGCCGTATAGGCGGCTATTTAGAAAATACAGTATCTACTTAAATGGATCAAACAGTTTGAAAACTATTAATGAGAATTAAAATTTCTTGTAGAATAAATTCTTCTGTGTAAAAATGAGCTTCATTGATATTTGTCATAAATGAAAAATAAGTCTTCGATGCGATCAAAAATGAGAGTCAGATGATGAACATCTCAAAGCAGAATTTCATTCTTCCCATTCTATCCTGGAAATTTTGCTTAAATAGTTGAGCGATTCTGTTTCAGAAAATGAGTTAGTCTGTTTAATTTTGAAATTTCACTAAGTAATTTCAACACATTAAATTTCAAAATCAGTAATTTAATGGAAAATATTGAATCATACGGAAAATTCTGCGTTTTTTTACAATCATGAGTACAACTGAAGCAGTACAAAAACATAAGAAAATCATTCATTGAATCACGGAAGCACTATATTGTTCTTGACTTTTTGACATCTCTCCGGCAGCTGGAAATTTTTTTTTGTTTAAAAGTTTATTTGGTTTATTCGCAAAGAAATTATTGAAGTGTGGTTTGACGGTCTCCAAAGAAGTCAACTCCACGGTGTTCAACAAATTTTGAAGTGATCTGAAGAGATGAAAATCTGAATGCAGGATCCGGTGATTATGGAGGGGTCGACATCCCAGCAATTTAATAAGTCTTTGTCTGGAATTCATCGAAATGTGGGTTTTGAGCATTGTCGTGATGGAAGACGACACCTCCAGCACGATTGGTCAGTTCTGCACTTGTGGCTTCGATTCCTGCTTTTAAGACTGTCATTTGAGAAAAATATTTTTACGAATTTGTTGGCTGATTTGGTGGCAACAATTCATGATGTACAATTCCTTTGTTTTCTCACCATACATGAATTCTTTTTTTTTTGGGGGGGGGAAGGGGGCTTTCAGGCTCCTTTCCAGTGTTACTAAAGGAGATTCTTTTGGCCTACCCCATGATGGATACATGATGATTACATTTTTTTTCCTTGTAACATTATTGTTTAGTACATACACTTCTCATTTGCAGTAATGAGATGTTTGGAAAAAAAGAGTTACATTTCTTTTCGGCAAAGACAGCATGCCGAAATTCGAGCAAGCAATATTCTGTTCTGTTAAAGTATGGATACACATACATCCCTGCAGCTTACATACCCAGTTTTTCAAATGATCATGTACTGTACTTTATGGAATATTTATTCTGTCTGATAGTTCCTGAATTGCATAACTTCGATTAATAGCTACAGTTTCTTTTAATACGTCCTCGTTTACATAGGATGGTCGTCCAGAGCGGGCAACATTTTCTAGGCTGAAATATCCAGGACTAAACTTCTCAAACCATCTTCGAACTGTCATCAGAAACTGCACTTTTTCCCTATAGTGCAAAAATTTTACGAGCAGTTTGATTAGCACTTTTCCCCTTTTTTTTAAAACAAAAGAACGTAATATGACAAAAATAAAATTAATTTTGAATTCTCCGTTCTTGTCACTGAAACAAAACTTAAGCCACAACACGTGCTAGAATTATTCAACGAGTACGGAAAAGACCATATTTAAACATCTGCTTTAATCAAGATCAGTCCTTAACAGCAATAACAAAGTACTATATTTGCTCGCTTATTTTTCCCCTAGCTTTTAGAACAAGAATTTGAAATTTTTTTAAATGTTCATGTAATTTTCCCTTTCCTCGAGACGGTCAGAAAGTGAGGTCTCCTAAATTTTAAAATGAATTAATCTAGTGGTTGTTTCAATTGATTTTCTTGTGTATTTAGGATGCATGGGGTCTGATTAGTGGAGAGCTTCGAGAAAACAGAGATATTTAGCTCTTGTTGGTTCTGAAAATCATTGCCCGAGGGAAGACACACTGAACAGTGACGAAGACGATGACAACGGTAATGATGGCTATCGCAGTTAGGTTCTTACAATGGCACAGTTTCAGCAGCATTGAACGATTTGAGTCCTGCGAAAGTAGCTGTGAACTACAAGATGAGTGGGCGAGATTTACGATACAAGAAAGCATGTAGAGACATTAAGGTTTTTTTTTTTTTTTTTTTTTTTTTTTTTTTTTTTTTTAAAGCAGGAGAGATGACAAATGAACAATGCCCTTGCCGAGTCTCGAATCACGGACCTCTCGAATACGCGCCGATGTGCTTACCACTACACCACGAAGGCATGCTAAGAAGGCGGAAGAAATACCTTATATACTCCACCGTTTAAAGGGCGACTAGGGATTAGTGGACCCAATCGCCAAATCGTGGTTGTGGAGAATGATCATCCACTACCTTTTTTTAGTTCGGGCGCCACTGCAGAGACATTATGTATTTTTTGAAAGCAGGAGAGTTGAAAAATGAGCAATGCCCTCGCAGGGACTCAAACGATGGACCTCTCGAATACGCGCCGAGCGTGCTGATCACTACACCACGAAAGCATGCTACGAAGGCAGGAGAAATAAATTATAAGTAGATCTTATTAGATATTGCAATGTTAATATAACTATGTATTCTTACTGGAATGTAGGTTTCTTTTCAGTAAACAGTATTCCCATAGTTCCCGGTAGTTTAACCATAAATATTTTTTATTTGTCATGTTCTTACTGCATTCATTTCCTTCGAAAATTAAATTATTTGCATAATTTTCCTCTCTCGATTTTCGTGCGACAACATTACTGAAAAAATGGGGAAAGTAATTTGGAGGACAGTCGCATCAATTTGAAAAATCGCTGAACTTTCCGAATGAACTAATATATTTTATACAAATTTAAAACATGTAAGGAATTATAAGCATAAATGTAAATATGAAAAAAGAAATATATTACGTAACTAGCAAGATTTCCGTTATTTAATAACGTTGTAGAGTCCACCAGGATAACTCCTGTGTGAGAACTGTAAGAGTAGTAACTACACGGAAGAAGGATTAAAAAAGTACCCTTTATTAACTCTTTAAAATTTACAATGCGTCAACTCGACGCTAACAAACTACGCTTCTTCTTGGACGAACTGAAATTCAGATAAGGAAACTAAAACTTTGAAGATATGTACAAATAATAGAACTACGCTACAAGGTTCAGCTAAATTCCGTTTCTTAAACCCCCGTCGAAAACTAGTGGTGGTAAGTAAATGCAATAAGGCCACGCGAACCAGCAATAACTCTGGGAGCAAACGCTTAAACAGCAGAGGTGACAGCAATAGAATAACTCTCTTTCTTTCCTACTGGTGCATACGAGTCAGTTTCCCTTAGAAAGTCCTCCACGAAGGCATCCCTCTCCTTAGACAGATAGCCCTAGTGTGCTTTGCCATAATTAAATACACCAACACCTTTCTTACTGAAACTCGATTTTTAAACTCTTTCTTCAACGTCGAATTTGCATTCCTTCACGCGCGCTACCAAATTTAAATATTCTGTCAATTTTCAAACAATTAGGGGAATGAAGGCTTTATAGGAAAGAATAACAAATTAAATAAAATTAGTTATTTGAACTAAATATAAATCCCTACAACGTTTTATTACAATTGTAATGCTTTGTTACAAACTTTATAGCAACAGAAGAAAGATACTGTAAGTTAAATATTTAAAGGCAAAAATTACAGTTAAACATAAAGCAACATTTAATCTTATCTAATTTTTACAACATACATTACAGTCCAGTTCATTTGAACCACATGGAGTAAGCATTTTCCGATAATACATGATAAAGATTTTGCTTTCATAAAAAATATAAAATGATTCATTTTTACATGCATTATTTCGGACAAAATTGTTAGTTTTGATTGTATTTAGAATAAAATAAAGTTTCAGATTTGTATTATAAAATTTTTGGTGTTGCTTTCGTTTGAGTGACACAAAGAAAATAATGTGCATTTGTAATAAAAATGAGAAAAATATTAATTTTGAGGAAATGTCAAAAATGGTTTTAAAAATTGTGAAAAAGTGCTCAATAATAATTAAAAGCTTTTAGCCCACCAGCGGCCGAGTGGTAAAGTCGCTGAACACTAGTAGTTCGGTCCGAGGTTCGAATCCCGCGAACGGGCTGGCTGCATGGGCGTTTTCGTGGTTTTCCCCATGTGTAACGTCTATACGAGCCAGTTTTTCCGTAGAAGTCCTCCACGAAGACATCCCTCCCCTTAGGTAGATAGCCCTAGTGTGCTTTGTCGTAATTAAATAAACCTATTAAAAACTTTTCTCCTGTTGGCTTGGGTGAAAAAAAGCGCCATTTCTCAGAGAATGACAACATCTACTTGGGATATATTACAAGACTTTTTCGATAATTTATTGGAAATCTTGCATACTTCCGATTTTGGTAAGCTAATCAACTTAAAAGAAGTCTTTTTTCACAATTCAATTTTAAATGGGTGGTTTATCAATTAATGTAGCTATTTTTTAAAGTTTACTCCAAGAAAACATCCTTTTCCTTAGGCAGATTGCTTTGATATAAATCTCTCCTCCAGGTGTGAGATTTTGCAGCTCTATATTTTTACATACAAATGTACGAATCACTCGCTTACATTATGGTTTGGTTTGGTTTGGTTTTATTAGATTACGGCAAAGCACTCGAGGGCATCTGCCTTAAGGGAAGGATGCCTTCGTGGAGGACTTTTTAAGGGAAACTGGCTCATATACACGTTACACATGGGGAAAACCACGAAAACGCCCATGCAGCCAGCCCGTTCACGGGATTCGAACCTCGGACCGAACTACCAGTGTTCAGCGACGTTACCGCTCGGCCGCTGGTGGGCCGCTTACATTATGTGTTTACTTTTAAGCACATTATGTGTTTACTTTTAAGTAGCCCCCCAAAAAAAGCGAGAAAGTAAAATGTTACTTTAAACCAGTTGTAAATGACAAGTTTTCTGAGTACAGATATTACTTCACAATTTTACTTGAGAGAGGTTTCACTGCATCTTTAACAAGTATTCACCAACGAGATTTATAGCAGTATTCTATGCAATTATTATAAATTCAGTATTGTTGTAGCATTCATGTTATATTACGTTCTTCGAAAATGTGGCTTTATTAATGGATCATTTTTTATATATTTTGCGATTTTAAGCTATGATTTAGACAAAAAAAGAGTGTATTCAAATGTTTTTGAATTCAAGTTACATTGCTATTAAATTCTTTTCATGATATTAGTTCTAATGACTATCTGTCATTGTTTAGAATTTCATCGTGTTTTCGGCTTTTTCAAAGTTATATGTTCTGTTACTTTTTCTTGTGTTTTCTCATCTGTTGTATTGCGACGAAAATTCATTCTTAGGTAATCATTCCATCATTAGAACACTGATGAAGAAAGTGCATCAGTTACATATCAAGAAACAAACAAGTTCACATCGATCGTAAATTTCAGTCGATATGCTGGCAGTATTTCAGTTAACTTTCAGAAAAAGGAATATTTTTATATGACGAAACATACGTTGTTAAAAAAATTAACTGAATCTTTCTACCATGCCATAAAGTTGTAAATATATTTTCTGAAATTTTTCACGTAGTGGAAGATGCATAATCTTGCAAATATGTTTGAATATTTTATTGGTAGGGTATTATAAAACATTGTAAAGTTTACGTCGTGATTTCTGGTTGAACAGCTGGGTAAAATTCAAGAAATGAGTGAAATAGTCTTTAATCAGCAGCCCAAAATGATGGCTAATATTTATCGACTTTAAATTTTAAGAAACTGTTACGTTTCACTCATCAGTATTTTGGTTTTCTCCCTCAAGTTTGTTCTCTTAACGTTATTATTTTCAATGCTTATAGTACTTTATAGTTGCTCTGGATTCGAGATTATTTTCCACCACTGGCTAAAATATAATAGTTCGTCGCCTTTGGACGATCTGCTGTTCCGACACCTCTGAAATATAATCATATCCAATATGTTTCAAAGTTAATCTGATATCTCAATTATTTTCTTCATATTTCATTAAATCTAAGAAGAAGTTTCCATTATTTTACGGCATTTAAATTCCAAAAATACATTATTGAAAATTTTCGAGTTACAAAATATGAAAATTTTCTTTTTGGCAATATGGAAATAAAAAATAAACTGAAGTTATATTTCATTGCAGGATCCATTTGTTATGCAACATCCATTATTCGACCGCTCTGTGCGTTTTAATTTGTCAGGTAATCAAGGAACTCGGAAACTTCAAACTGAATTTAGACTAAAACTTTGTTAAATTACGAAGTAATGGTGTTAATGTACTCAATGTCTTTTCGCAAACCACCCTTTTCGTTTATATTTTCTTAGAACCACAATTATTGCTTATTTTATTAATATCAGACACTGAATATCAGTGTTTGGTTTAGGTTAAAATAACACTCCGAATAATGGTTCTTGTTATTTGATTTCTCCAATAATCGGTGTTTAATATTAATAAAATACTTTCCGTTGGGAAAATAAAATCTCTCTCCCCCAATTCGAGGTGTCTTCCAGATGAATTTTGTTTAGCTTATTTAAAGACATTCGTAATTAATATTTTCTACTTGTAATTCTTATGCACCCAATGTTTAATTCTCGACTGCATATGTGGAGAAAATATAACAATACCAAGTCTTGTTTCTTGATGTATAATGCGGGGTATAACTGTTTACCTAAACCGATTCACTATTAGAACTGCTTGGAATCCTAAAATACATGACATTTAGAAGTCAATTTCCCAACTCAACCATAAAATGTGAATTACTAATTCTTAATTCTGGGATTATAATATGCATCCTATTAATTATGCCAAACAAAAAATTTGCATTATATTCTAGCTTTTGCAATTTTATTCTGTTTCCATCTCTAAGTTATGCCTTTTTCTTCAATATGGTAGGCAAATTATTATTGGGAAGTGCTGGAAGAAGGCTTCAATATGGTAGGCAAATATGGCTTCAATATGGTAGGGCAAATTATTATTGGGAAGTGCTGGAAGAAGGCTTCAATATGGTAGGCAAATATGGCTTCAATATGGTAGGCTTTCTTCAATTTGGTAGACAAATTATTATTGGAAGTGGCTCAGTGTCTAATTGTGAGAACATTGTTTCATTAAGAAAGGGATATGCCTTTAGCGTCTATTCATAGTTAAACGGAAAAATGAATGCCTTGGTGGTACGAATGAAACTGCGATTAACAAATTATAATGGAGGCTTTCGAAAAAATAAAATATTCAGCAGGTGGCATGCCAAGAAAACTCATGGCTTAGCCACTTTTTTATCACAAATTTTAAAAACCTTTACATAATATATCATCTTTATTATTAATTATTAATTTTAATGCCGGAAATTATCAGTATATTTACTGTTCAGTGTATGTGTAATACTAATTTTATGTATAAAGTAAGCAGGTTGAGAAAGCTGTTGTAACGAATGATGTATCATTTTAGTTGGTGGAATACTTTCACCTGATCCAGAAGAAAACCCTTATTGGTGGGATGCTAATCAAGTGTAAGTATTTTAGTAATATATGCTTTTAAACTAAGGTTTTTTAACTTTTTCTTGTCAATTGCAGAAAAAGAAGAGGATTTTGTTTTTTTCTACATTCTCGAAATCTGTTCAGCACCACAGATAACACAAATTTGTGTTTTCATTTCAATCATTGTTTTGAATTTTTTTGTTGTCATGTTTTATTTTAATTTACTTCCTTGAAATATTTTCGAAATAATTTTAATAAAATTTAGAGCCTAGTCAACCGGTGGCTAAAACTGCGAAACACTGGTGAATTCGCCTGAATTCATTTCCTGCATGATGTTTTCTGGCTTTCCCCGTGTATAAGTCATTTTTAGGGAAACCCACTCCTTGCCTTTCAGATAGATAACCACGATTATTTTGCCACAGTTTCTTAGCATATCTGTATAAGCATTCAATTTTATTATAAATTGTAGTGCTCTCTCGTCTTAGGTGGTTTAAAGTTATGCGATTTTAATAATAATCGAAAGATATCAACTACAACAACGATGCATAATTTTATTTCATATGTATATGTTTAAATGCATTTTTTATTATTTGGTTCAAAAGCTTAGAAAATTATGACTTGAGATTTATAAGGCTAGCTGTCCTTAGGGCTAGCACGTAAAAGAGCCACTCTGGAGCAAGGAACGGAAATCTTACATTGTTAGTAACCCAAATCAAAAACTGATCTTATAGAACTTTAATAAACCTGCTTATTGCATTATTTATAATTACGCAACGCCATTATGTGTCACATTACAGTAAGCGCAGCTTAATGCTAACGTGGTTAATGTTGCCATTCGGATATTGTTTTTGAACTGTCAAAATCCCGGTTGTTTGTACATGGAAAATACATTGCTTATTGAGATCAACAATTCGGTTAATGTTATCATAATATTATAGAATGAAATTTTTAGATTAAAAAAAAACTAAAATCTAATTAATCAATCATTAAATTGCAGTCAAATAAAAGCTAAAATCGCTGAATAAGGTTCAAATACAATATAGAAATTTTAGAAAAGCTAATAAAGAATTATTTTAAATATAGTAATTTTTAATAAATGATAAAACAAAGGAATTTCATTAGCTAAAAATGTCTGAAGCCTACATGAATTGAGAGGAATTTAACGCTTGGATAATGAGGTAAAAAATCATGTTGCAGCATCAATGACAGAAAAAGATGATATCTGCCTGTCGCTTTCTGAAACAAATTTCCAGACACATTACGAATACGAACAGTTTCATAAACGAATTTTTGCGTAATGATTCCAGATAATTAACTGTTAATAAATTTTCCCTAATTAAATACTGTGAAAGGTAAGTATTTATATGTTTCTAGTTATATTAAATTAAAGTCCATTGAAAATTTGAAGAATATTCTCTCATCGCTTTAATGTTATCAAAATAGTTACGAACAAACGTGATCGCACTAAGCGAGGCATACTATAATGTTAAAAATAAAGAAGCGTTGATTTGTATGATGCGGCAGTGCTTTATATCGGGCGTATAATAGAAATGAGCCTGTAGATGTGGTGGTGATCGGCGGGTTCGAACTGCTAGGTTGTAGTCGCTTCCTTTGAATTTCGAAATTTACAGCAAAGTGGTTTTGTTTTTTAAACCTTGCTACTCTGTACCGAAGATAAACGAAACCGCGGTTACGGAACTCAGCTATATGTGGTTTTGGGGGCAAAGCAGGGAGTTGGAAAACTAGTTAATTAGCTTAAAATGCAGCATCGTAATAATACAGAAATGAAGGCTTCTTATGACTTGGAACTTCTAACAAATGGAATGCAATAAGGCTTTTACTTTTAATCAACTCCTAAAAATGTTTCCTTTTAACCGCAGAAAACAAAAGAAATTTTATATTATTGTTTCAATCTCAGAAAAATTGTTATTTGCAAAAATTCCATATTCACGACTGAAGAGAATTAATAATCCTCCACACTCCCCCCCCCTTTTTTTTTGTTCACAGGCAATTATTGTATATCTATAACGCGCATGCTTAAAAGTTATTAGGCTAGGTTTTCCTTCTTGCGTAAAACACTGCATTAGATGAAAATTTGTTTTGGAACTTGTTTGTGTACCGTACTTATATTGTAAAGACTTTGTAGAGACATTATGTATTTTGGAAGAGGCAAGATGAAAAATGAGCAATCGTCTTTGCTGGGAATCGAACCACGAACCTCTGGAATACCGGCTCAGTGTGCAGAACCATCACACCACGAAGGCACGCTAGAAAGGCGGGAGAAATACCTTATATATTCCCCTTTTAAAGGGCGACTGGGAGTTTTAGGGGACCCAATCGCCAAATCCTGGGTGAGGAGAATCATCATCCAACACCCTTTTAGTTCGGGCGCCACTGTAGAGACATTAGGATTTTTTGGAAGCAGACAAGATGAAAAATGAGAAATCGCCTTCCCCGGGAATCAAACCACGGACCTCTGGAATACCGGCCCAACGTGCAGAACCACTCCACCATGAAGGCATGCTAAGATGGCGGGAGAAAAACCTTATAACTTCACTATGAATTTTTTGGCAATTTCCAATACCGATATATAAAAGTCCTTGTTGCACGCTCGATTTTTAGTTTTTCGTCTTTGTTATTACTTTGTGGTATATAATCAAATCAAATTTTTACTTTCTAAGAAATCCAGTCTATTTCTGCATTGTTTTATTATTTTTTTTTATTAGTATTAGATTTTCGTATTCGTTTGCTTCATTATTTAATTTTTATGTTCGTAACTTTATATACGACATCCAAAGTTAAACAATGTTAGTTGTTTTTCAATTACATATGACATTAACGGGCACTTTAAATTTCAGATTTTTACCATACTGCTCAAGTGATACATGGAGTGGTGCATCTCACTCATCCCGAAAAGGTAAAAGAAATGCATTCAATTTTAATTTGAAAGCTTTAATTTGTCTTTTCAGGCACAAAAAATAATAAGTGGTAGTTGAACTTGCTTTTCCACCTGAAACCGCATCTGCCATGTGCGAAGAGTTATCTTGTCGAGACATTAGGTATTTTTTGCAAGCAGGCAAGATGAAAAAGTAACAATCGTCTTCGCCGGGAATCGAACCACGGACCTCTGGAATCCCGGTCCAGCGCGCAGAACCACTACACCACAAAGGCACGCTAGGAAGGCGGAAGAAATACCTTATATACTTCCCCTTTTAAAGGGCGACTGGGGTTTTCAGGCGACTCAATTGCCAAATCCTGGGTGTGGAGAATCCTCATTCAACACCCTTTCAGTTCGGGCGCCATTGTAGAGACATTAGGATATTTTTTTTGGGGGGGGGAAGCCGGAGAGATGAAAAATTAACAATCATATTCCCCGGGAATCGAACCACGGACCTCTGGAATACCGGCCCAGTGTGCAGAACCACTACATTACGGCAATACTTTTTATTAATAAATAATTAAGAATAATATACTTGATGAAAAATATATAATTTAATGCTTAATTTCAATATTTTTGTTTCTCAAAAGTTTTGAACAAGATTAATTTTTATGTCATCTAGTCAACAATATATCTTTGTCATAAAGCATAGATGAGCAAACTCTTTGTTTCGAGAAAAATGCCTTGAAAGGTTTGACATATATTTGGCTGCAGAAAAATTGAATTATGACTCTTATACAATAATTCTTTTGAAGCATCTCAGAAATTATGCAGCTATCTGTTTTAATACAGCTTAAAATACGAAACATAGGAAATCTATGTAAGTGGAAACAGCGAAAAAAATGTAGATTTTTAGTTTGGGCGTAATACCGGTGATCGTCTTCAATGTAAAACATCCAGTTCTTGTTTGTACATTTATAAATTAATCGCAATATTGAATTGAATCTAGAACTAGTATTATAATACCTTTTAAAATAATTATTTAATTCTCAGAAATCTGGCATTGCTGGGTAATTTTACAGAAGCTTTCTCAGTTCTCTAAAGAAAACTGATTTAGTGTTTGATATAAATGTGTTTAGATTTATGTACATTAAGAAGCAATCTGTTTCAACAAGCGTTTTTTCGTTCTAGGTGAATTTTCTTTCTTAGGATCTCTGATAGTTATGGAAGTAATCAAGGATCTGTTGACCAAAGGGCTTTTTACGGCTGACATGCTGCTTTTGGCAGGTAGCAGGTAATTATAGGAATATGTTTGAAACTAATTAATACTATGCAGCAATTGAAATTATGAGATCAATTTCTCTATTAATTTTTTTCAATGTTTTCAGTCAAGTTATTTATTAAGTTTTTTGTTTAATAATTAGTTTCTTCTGCAAGTTTAGACTTAATGCATTTAACCTACTTTTCCGACTTCTCATGCATCTGAGCTATTTTTTATCATTTCCTATAAAATGTTTATACGACATGCTATATATAGTGTGACAAAAAAAGTCCGCTAACATTTGATAATTCAATAGTTCAATGAATAATGTAAGTAGAGAATTAAAAACTGACACACATTCTTGAAATGTTATGAGGTTTTATTGAAAAAAAAACTGCTTAAAGTGGCCAACAGGTGGGACTTCATGTGATAGCGAAAGCAATAATTAGCATAACAATTGATTTTTAGCAAAGATATGTTAATTAAGATACAATAACACGCCGAACAAATATTAATTTAGAAGTCAAACAACAAAAATCAGCGTTATATTTTCAAATTCAATTCATCCTATAAATTTGAAAATATAACGCTGATTTTTGTTGTTTGACTTTTAAATTAAAGATTATGTTCTTTACAACATATGTTCAATATGTCGGCCGTCATTCATCAACAATACCTGGAGTCGAGGGACAATGTTGTGTACAGCACTGTACAGCATATGGTGAGAAACTGCCGTCGGATGTTGTCTTTTAGCATCCCTAATGAGGTCGAACGATCGTGGTAGACTTGCGATTTCATGTAACCCCACAACAAATAATCATTGAGATCTGGGAACCTGAGAGGCCAAGCAGGATGGAAATGGCGGCTCAGCAAAATGGCGGATGTGTGCAAGGAATCTTTCACACGTGAAGCAGTATGGGGTATAGCGCCGAAAGTCATACCTTCTAGCAGGTATTTATAAGCCAAACTAGGAATGGATGCGATTCTGTAACATATCAGCGCGTCTTGCACCCGTCACACTGATAGTTTGAATAGCAGAACTACGCATTTCCTCAAAGAAAAAGGATCCGATTATGATTGATGTGATAAATTCGCATCACACCGTGACCAACACCCGGAGATGAGGCTAAGTGACAAAGTCATGAAGGGATTGATTTCCTCTCTCACTACAGCTCAATTCATACACGGTTTTCATGCAGCACCACTGACATTTTGCTGCCCAGCGCCATATGTCGGCCATTTTTTTTTCTTTCAACAAAACCCCATGTCATTTCAAGTATGTGCTTCAATTGTTTACCTCTCTACCTACGTTATTCAATGAATTATTGAATTTTCAAATGTTAACGGTCTTTTAGGTTACCCTGTATATTCGAGATTAAAAGTTTTATTTCTCCTTTCTACCCTCGTAGATATTCTAATAATACATTAAATTGAACGTTTCGATAGAAATGTGCACTTTTATAACATTGCATATATAAAACAGTAGAGTATGTAATAGTATTTAATCTGTAAAAGCTTATAATTTTTCTTGACTAAAGTTTGCAGGACTTTAATGGTTTTTAATAACAAAGCAAGCATTTGCGGATTTAAAAATGGTAATTCTGAGCATGCTAGTTCCAGCATTTCAAGCAAATACACATATGTAAATAATTAAAGATATATGTTACGAAGAACAAAGGATCAAAATATTAAATAAGTTTTTCTCGATACTTACGTTCAGTCAATCTACCGAGTAGTCTATCATCATATTTAATCAAGTGGTGCAGTACGTATGTAGCACCATAAGACATTGCGATGTTGCGAACTTATTAGTTTCCTGTCCAATTTGGAATTTCTAGAAAGAATATCCCAAGGGACGGTCCAAAGGTTTCCCATTCCTCTTCCCCTACCAACAACCTCTCGAGAGAATTTCAGCTCGCCGTACATTTTGAGTGCTTCCTGGCCGGCACTTTATTTGTCGTGTGTATGTATGCATTATGATCAATGAATACAAATCATGGACTCACTTCACTCCGAAAAAGACATTGCCAAGCCGAATCTTGGTGCATTACTGTTGGGATGCAATGTTAACTGCCTCAATGAGATGAAGCAGTATGCTGCCACTGCACATAATGTTTTCCTTCCATAATGACTCTCATCGACCGTAACAATCAGCATTATGATATTTTGTTGTTGGTTACCTTCTTTCTTCACAGCAGCTGGTATCCAGAATCATTCTTGATGATGAATCGGGATGTTTCTGAGAACATCAGTTGGAACATGCTGCTATTAATGCTAGTTGCAATGAATATATTCATTATACTGACATAATCTATTCGACAATGGCCTGCTGTCAGCGAAATGTATGTAATAGGCTTCTATGTATGATTCAAATATGATATAATATGATATTCAAATATGATATAATCGCCAAAAAATGATTCTGGTCGATACGCCAATGCCGGTAGGGTTGGCAAGATCTGCGGCTATCTACCCAGGAGTAAGATTTCTATTTTTTTTCCCTAACAAAGATACAGATATGTCCTATTGATAACATACTGATCCTATCAACAGCCACCAGCATGCTTTAAAAGAACACTTTGACTTTTAACAGCGCCTACTGCTATGCAATTTCAGTGCTTCGATCCGTCTAGTAAACTCATCCATGATCGTAAACGTTCAGATAAGGATTTATAAAGTTTCTAATTCAATATTTGCCGTAGGAGGTGAAAATGTACTGCATTGTCTTTAGAAATATGCAACATGATAGCCTCCTCAAATTTCGCTGTTTAAAATTTGGAATCAAGAAAAAGGTTGTGTGTAACCTCCCTTATACAGGTCCTTAAACACCTTCTGTACTCATTTTCTCCGCAATTACGTAGTAGTCAGATTTTTTTTTTTTTTTTTTTTTTTTTTTTTTTTTGCATATACCCGTTAGTTCTTAGCAACTGTTTAGCAAAACATTGTAGAGTCATTAGTGTTTTTGAAGCAGGAGAGATGAAAAATGTGCAGTGCCCTCGCCGGGACTCGAAACCTGGACCGTGCGAATACGCGTCGAGTATGCTTCCAATTATACCACGAAGACATGCGGAAAGGAGGGAGAAAATACCTTATAACATATTATAGGGTGCCACCGACACCCTCTAACGGAGACATAACGTTTTGAAATCTTAAATATTTGCTGATGAATAAGTATTGAATAATTTGTATTTTTATTTGCATAAAAATAATTATTTGATAAACAGAGATCCTTTTCGGGAAATTTTTAAATGATGGGTATTTAGTAAATTATTTCCAAATGTTTGCTAGCGTAAAGTTACACACATAATAAAATTGAAAAACATTACTTGAGAAGGTTGTTTTCACAGTTAAAATCATATCTATCAAATGTATGTATATGCCTTCACAGTAAACCAGAAGGACATGCTGTGAGGTTTCTACGAGTTTTCATCTAGTTTTGTCTTTAGATATCAAACGAAGCGTCCTTACAAGAGTCAGCTAACGCACCTAAAAATATTAAAGTTTAAAAACCTCTTCATTATCTGAGATCCATTATAGTTGCCATTAGGTTAAATATACTAATTCCACGAATTTTAATTCTAATGTATTAAATGCATGAATGAATAAAATAAAATTAAATGTGAAAAAGAGAATTCATTCTAATTCTCATTCTCTTGCCATCCTTGGCAGTCAAATGGTGATTACATTTAGCTTATGATCTTCACTGTTGAAATTTTCTTGTGTTGCCAGAAATTGTAATGTAATCTGTTTTATTTTTCCCTAACTTAGTGCTGGCGGAACTGGTGTCTTAATTAACCTTGACAGAGTATCGGATTTTCTCAAAAACCTCAAATCTAAGATTGAGGTCCGAGGATTAGCGGATTCTGGTTGGTTCCTAGATAATGAACCTTACCAACCTTTGGACTGCCTAGATCCTCAAACCTGTGCTCCTGTAGAAGCCATCAAACGCGGTGTCAAGTAAGTGAAATATAACAGGACATAATGAAATTCACGGTTTAAAGGCTGTTGAGAATTCGTTTCATGTTGCTGTTTCGATCATTAATCGTATGCAGATCACAAATGCTTAAATTTATTTCTTGTATTGTAAGTTTGTATTGCATTGGAGAAGCTTATTTCAACTTAATATTACAATTATTATTTTTAATTACACTGTTCTTCTCAAGTTCTTACAGCAAGAAATGTTTCTATGATACTGATGTAATTCTGCCTAAGAAGATGAAACATTATTTTATGCATCCAATTAATACGCAGTTAACCACAAAATAAAAGATCAGCCTAATGTAAAAAAATATTTCTTGAGAATTATAGTGCTTGTAAAAGTTCATCGAATTTTTAAGTACATTAAATTCGTCAAGACATCCACTTCTATCAATAATGAAAAATATTATAATTTTGATTAAGAAACCATAAAGGAATTTTAAAAACACGCATAATGACCTTCTTAAATTTATAAAGCTTTATGTTTGTGATTTATACATATATCTATATATATGTAAGAAAAATAAAGAATATGTAAAAGATTAAATTAGCAGCGTAAATTAATTTCCCTTCTCTGTTCTAAAAATAGGAATATCTATTTGCACTGCGTTATTTCGAGAAAAATCTATGTTTCGTATATGACTCTTATACTATACTTTCGCATATCACTCTTACGTAATTCTGGTGATGTAAATTGAACTAAAACTCAAACAGCCAATTAGTAATTTCACAGCAATATTAACTATATATAAAATATATTATATATGTATAAGGATCAATGGTGTGTAATTAATTATATATAATTTATTCATTAGATTTTCTTCATTTGCTGATCTATCTATATACAGAGTGGCTCAAAAAAGAAAATATACATTTTTAAACTGCCACTCAAATGGATGGACGAAAACATGTCACTTTTAGTTGTGTTTTAGTTTTATGTTCTACTATTACATTGTTCCGCACACTAATGTCTAATGTGTTCAAAGTGTTGGCTGTTAACAGCAAGACAGTGGCGATGCTACCAACTGTTCCATGGGTTTCCGACTGCAACGAGTCAAGTTTGTTATTTGCATAGAACATTCGATGGCTGCTAGTAGGTTATGGAGTGTATGAAAATTTTGGCCGTAAACGATGTTTTTGAGAGTAAGTAAAAGTGTAGAGGAATTAGATCTGGAAAATGTGGGGAATACTCTTACGAACCCTCTTCAACCTACCCATGAATCGGATACTTTTTCATTGAGAAACTTTCTAACAAGATGATAGTAGGAGCCTGGACTTCCATCTGGTTGGTGATAAAACCTATCATTTCCATCGATGTCTCCAAAGGCAAGCAAAATAGATATCCCCAGCTTTTGCAAGTACTCCTCGCCGGTAATTATTTCGTCAAAAAAGAACGGTTCGAACAAGCCACGATAAGACAAGCACGCCACATTAATCCCGGTAGATGCATGGCTACGTGGATTTCCTGATTCACAGCGAACCGGTAGATACAATTCTGTCGTTTTACTGCGCCATTGAATTTGAATAAGGCGCCACAGGACCACACTATAATCTTTGCAAACGTTTCTTCGTTGTCTACCATGTTCTAAAAAACACGCTCAACTCTCCAATCTGCAGTCTGGATCTTCCTTGTTCTTTGCGTGTAGTAGTCTTATAGTACAGACCTTCTACTTTCGTCCATCAAAATGCAACAAACACTTGAGCGATTCATATCGGTTTTCACGGGCACATGTCTCACAGACTTTTGTGTAAGTGAGTTACACAGTACACAGTTGTTCTAACACAGTATGGAAGTTAGCAGAACTTGTTGCAGTGGCAGGTTATCGAAAACGGTTTTTGCGCTCATCTGAAACGCAAACGTTGTAAGATCTATCTCTACTTATCCACATATACTAACTTAGGTCCTACAATGAACCTGGCGAATTCTCGCACAGGCGTGAATAAAATACCAGCACAGAAGAAGGGTGCAAAATAACCCTTTATTAACTCAAACTAAATTAACAGAAAGCACGGACTTCGTGCGTTACAAAACACGGTTCACTTGCGGCGATAACTAAACGTAGACTAGAATAAATCAAAATCTAAAAAAATAAACGAGTGCAAGAACGCACTTCAAAATTACTTCTAAGAGATGGACTCACAGAAATCTAACCGGCGTGATACTAAACACATATGGCCAAGAGGCTTTACTAGCGTGACCGCGAAATAACAACGAAACGTGCTCTAGGCTAGCGAAACACGCGCTGAATAAACTGAGACTATCACACGTTTAAATAACACTTCACTTAACTTTAAATTTATATCTTGGCGAGAGAATGTGAGAGGAAGTTTGAGAAGTTGAGAACAGGAAATCTTAAAATAAATTTGTTATGCAAATTAAGAAAAACCCTACAATGTTGACTTCAAATTTGTGATGACTGTGGGAAATAGTTCGACGTGTTAGTAGCTCTGTTCAAAATTCATTTCGCCATTATCGTTTTACCTCACTGATGGTTTCATACACCTGAAGCTTTCTTTCTTCGAATGTCTGCAATTTCATTTAGTGCTTCGCTCATGCCACCTACGAAAAGGAATAAGAAAGGGAAAGCATTATCGAGTTGCAATGTAATACAGATAGTGGAGCATTTAAGTATAATACTGCCAAAAATGACATGTTTCCGTTCATTTGTTTGAATGGTATTCACAATAAAACAATGTATACGTTATTTGAGCCACCCTGTGTATGTACACGCATATACACACGAAACTTCATATACCGGGTGGACATAATTAAACTGACAGTGCTCACAGTGTTCTGTAGCGCGATCTATTTGCGAGAATGACGCCACATTTTGTAGGAAGATTAAACAAGACGGGGGACGAAGGATTCCACGAAAAAACAAATTAGTTCCAAAAGTCACCGCTAGGGGAATATTTGGCGCTGTGTAATAGAAAATAGAGTGTTAACAAATGCAAATTAATACGGAATAAAATTACCTTTTATTATACACATTTTCTGATTTAGTTCATGAACTTTTAAAAAAGCGTAAAATCTACATAAACACCGATAGAGTCTCGTGATTTGCAATATCACGTACGCTGAGCAGAAGAAGTTCTTTATTCAAATTTCACGTTATATCCATTCGCACAGTGCCAGCTGCTTGGGTTTTAAAAGGTAATGTATTTCGTTTCGAATCAATCGGATTGAAAGTTTATGTGCAATGTCTCCTTTTTTAGTCGAGCGTGCGTTACTGGTCAAATTCTTTTACCTCAACCAGAGCAACGCGTCAGCCGTTCTTCGTGCTTTTAAGAACGCACAAAAAAATGCGTAAAGGTAACTGTCCTGTGTCAGTTAATGGGTTAAAAGCAATGTTTGCGACGCTTGAGAAAACAGGTTCTCTGAAGGTTCAGTCAGGCAGAGGACGAAAACCTGTACCACAGGATACAAACGAAGCAGTTGCCACGGCGATTGTCGACAGAGGACCAGACAATATTGCTTGCTGCCACCTCTAGCGCTCGTGGAGTAGCTCGGAATATTGATATGCCTTACAATACGGTATGGAAAATCATGCGAAATATTATCAACTTCTATCCGTACAAGATCAGCCGTGTACAGGAGTTACTGTACCCCGACCATGATAAGCGATTGACTTTTGCTCTCACCTTTCTTGACAGAATGGAGGTGGATTATGCTTGGCCGTGGAAAATCTTATGGGGAGACGAGGCCCACTTTTACCTGAATGGAATACCCAGAACTGCCGAATTTGGGATGACAAATCACCATATGCAGTCACAGCAATTCCCTTACATTCACCAAAGGTAACTGTTTGGTGTGGGTTCACAGCGAAATTTATCGTAGGTCCATTCTTCTATGAGAACATTACCCCGACAGGACCGGAAACCTGTTCTGTTACCGGAGAGAAATATCGCCACATGTTGAACAGCTTTGTCATTCCGGCACTTCAGCAAAGACAATGCCTAAGGGAAATCATTTTCATGCAAGATGGAGCCCCTCCACACGTTGCTGTACGAGTGCAACGACAGATGCTACGACAGAAATTCACAACAAAAAGAGTCATTAGCAGCTACTTTCCAACTGCATGACCACCTCGGTCGCCTGATCTTACCCCATGCGACTTCTGGCTATGGGGTTATCTTAAGTCTATCAAGGTCTATCAAGGAGGGGTCCAGGACCTGGCTACGTTGAAGGATAACATATCACGGACTGTACGGGAGATTCCTGCAGACAAGTTACTTCTGCTGTTGTGCATACTGTGCACAGAATGCAATATATTGTCCACAACAACGGCAGCCACATTGAACCTCATTTGAATGCAGAATAAAAGGTAACTTCCGTATTGATTTGCATTTGTTAACACTCTATTTTCTATTACACAGGACCAAATATTCCCCTAGCGGTGACTTTTGGAACTAATTTGTTTTTTCGCGGAATCCTTCGTCCCCCGTCTTGTTTAATCTTCCTACAAAACGTGGTGTCATTCTCGCAAATAGATCGCGCTACAGAACACTGTGAGCACTGTCAGTTTAATTATGGCCACCCGGTACATATAAGAAACCTAAGGTCGTATATATATATATTTCATTGCAAATTTTATTTAAGGAAACTATATATTATGTAGTTAAAGTTCACACATCAAGCGCCGTCTATAGTAGGTTCTTGTTCTCTGAAAAGTTTTGTGTCTTTATTTGATTTTCTTAAGTGCTTCTGGAAATATTACATAAGTATTACTTGCATTTTGTTAAGCTTAAACCTCTTAAAACGCTAATTTACTCATCTAGACGATCTTGATCTTTTGTGAAGATCACCTTAGACAGTGCAACTATCAGTGATATTCAGTACTGTTATGTACATTTCAGTACTGTTATATATATTCTCAGAAGTCGCAGTCACTTTCAGTGATTAGTATCTTAATGAGGAGACTTCTGTAAAAGAAGTCTGTAAAAGTTCTTCTGTTCTGTCTGTCTGTAAAAGGTTTCACTGTATATATTATTATTTTAAAAATTAACCTGCTTTTTATTTTTACCATTACTAACAATACATTTTCTGTATTATTCTGTATAATTGGATGGAGCGGATTATAATTCTAGATAAGGTCTAGAGAATTTAAAATATAAAATAATGTAACTGTACTAATGTCAAAATACATGTTATTTGTGTTGTAATTAATTATAATGAAATTTCGTGTTAAAGATGAAAAATCGAAGGCATTTTGATGGTATTACCTCTTGCACAGTAAATTAGTTTGATGAATTTTGAATGAATTTTACTATTTGCATTTCATTATTAATGAGTTCATGTATATTCCTTCAGGTTATGGAATGGACAGGTTCCGAGGCGTTGCCAAATGCAGTACAGTGTGAATGATATCTGGCGTTGTTACTTTGGATACAGGATCTATTCAACTCTACAAAGTAAGCAAAAGTAAAAATTTGAACTCACTACCTTTTTACGAAAGTTAAGATTATATTTTTTTGCTACAAATAATCCAGATGGGGAGAAAGAAATTCCGCTTTGCTCTAGTTTTTAATGCTATATTAACTAAAGTACAGGTAGAAACTGAAAAACTTATTCCTACCTTTGTGGATTTATCAGAATTCTTGTATTAATTAAAACGAATTTATGGTGCTCCTGTTATTTAACATGGTGAATAATGGTAACTTTGCTTGGATTCAATTTCTATTTAAGAAATTTTACAAATATATATTTGTGGCTTTTTTCATGTGTAACATATATATAATACAGTTTCTAATAAGCCTTTATCGCACCTGAACGACTGGTGTTTAAGAGCCTTGGCATTCAGTTTCTTTCTTACAGAAAACAAGTTTGACTGTCGGCTATTTCCTCCAGGTCTTTAGGGCACAAAATGATTTATTTAAACTACTGTGTGATACGGAGTTTAAAATTCATCCACGAATGTATTCTGTCTTGAGTGGACAGCTCTCGCATGCTTTGCCTGTGTTGCTCACGAAAAGTATTGGGCTTGTAGCGTTGCGCGCCTCCAACTTGCACGCAACCAAGAGGTGACTGTGAAAACTGGATAAAAGACAGAGTCTTGTTAAGGGTTTAAGTCCCTTTTTATTCAACGTAATAAATTACAATTGCGTGCCTCTTGACGCTTACAAACTGTGCCAACTTGGCAGTCAAATAAAAATAATAACCTGAAAAGAAAGTAAAGACAAGACTGTAACTACGAGGCTCTCTAAAAGTAACTAACCTCACCGCGTTTTACAATACCGCTGCTAATTCAGCAAACTTGAAGCTCACTTGGAACGATTAACCAATACTTCCCGCCAAGCACATAGGCCGAAACGCGGGGTTCTTCAATTTCTCGCTAACTACCTCCGCGCTCGTGAAGTAAGAACAGCACACCGAACTCGTTTCCTTTCTATTTTAAATCAGAATACTTCCGCTGATAATTTGAATCCTTGCGCGTTCTACTAAAATTTACATACTTCTGGCATTGGCAGTTCCAGGGGAAAGTAAGGCTTGACAGGAAAGATAGTTTAAACTTAAAATAAATGTTAGTTAAAATAAATATAAACCCTACATTTGCCGCTGCCAGAATTTGGAAAACTTGGAAGCAGGTCCTACAAACGACCTGTTGTAAGTTTCTATAATTCTGAACTAACTCTGGCGAGAACCTCGTTTACACACAAAAAAAAAAAAAAAAAAAAAAAAATCTTATGTAACAAATGTATACTAAAATTCTGTGTATCGTTACTTAAACTCTCTCTTCTTACAGCAACTTTTCCTGGACTTCATCAATCAATCTTGGTCTTTCCTTCCAGCATCTGGAAGGAATAAGTATCAGTATCTTTCTAAATACATTATAATTTACACTTTCTTGACACAATAAATTTTTGTTTTTAAACGATTCGTTTTTCTTAGTTATTGCTTAATTCACATTCATTCAATTTTTCAAGCATTAATTTAACTTTACCCTGGCTCTCCACCATGTGTGGTGTCAAACGGGAATATTCGTGTTTTAGTCTTACAACACTTCCCCTAACCACCATGATTTGTTAGAATTCAACGACCAAATAGACACACCTTACTCGACATTCTACAACTCAATGAGCTACTTTAACATTCTTAAAAATTCAAGTGTAGGTGGAGAACCCTACAAAACACATTCATTCTAACTTCCCCCTCATTCATCTTTAAACATGCAGGCTTTCGCTCTAAAGCATGACTTTATCTACAGTTTAATACTTAAATTTTGAGTTCATTCCTTTTAAGCATTTTACTTTTAGCATCTAAAATTTTATGCTTCTAGACTAAATTCTACTTTTACATAACATTCAAGTATTTACGTACATTTACAAAATTTTAATACATATGATTTTTACAATTTACCATAAAATGAATAAGAGAAAATAAATTTTTACTTTACTCATTCTTCGCCAAGCTGGCGGCACTGAAACTAAAATTCTTATTAATACAAGAATACGAAGTTATTTTTATCTTCGGCCAAATTTTGGCTTTAACATAACAGAATTAGTCTTTCGACCAACAGAAAATGCTTGTGTTCTTAGCTTTTACTTAAAGAAAATAATACTTTTGCCTTAGCTAAATAAAGTAAAACAAAACTAAGTCTCAACCGAGACATATTGACTTTCGTCAAAACATAGAACTTCGTACTTACGCATAACATTTCGGAACAAAGAGAAAAAAAATTTATAGAAGATTTTAACTTATCTTTGAGTTTTCGATGCTTGAAACTCCGTCATTCCGTTTTTGGCAAAATTGATCCCAAGTTAGAGGTTTCATGGATGTCAATCTTCTCCTTATTGACCTCCGAGTGTCGTCCACGTTAGTTTTTCTTTTGCGTCCTCTACATGCTGGCCTCTTGGCGGAGTATCGTCTGGTTGTTGTCCCTTTCCGTTTCTCCCTGGGACGGCTGGTCCTGACGTCCTCCGGTCTGGAGTCCTTCTTGAATTTCTTCTGTTCCTCGTATTTTTGTGCCTCCTGTTGGCGTTTCAGTTTCCGGAACGGCGGCCTTGCTGGCACCTGACTCTGTGGCCGTGTGCGCGTTCTCCTTGATGTATAATTTCTCCTGCGATCCGTTGTAGGTGGTGTTTTTCTCTTTACCACGGTTTCTTTACCCGGTTCATCTGTATTTTTGTTTTTCTTAAACGCCGGAGTTTGAAAGTTTTCTTTTTTCTTTTTGATACCGACGTCCGGGTTGTAGAAGTGCTAGGTCTCTCTTCAGTTCTCTGCTTCTTGGGTGGTGGAATAGTTGTTGTTAGTCTCTGGACCTTCTATTTCGTTTAGACTTGAGTCCTGCAAGAAACTTTTAAGGATTTCAAAATCATTTGGATTATAGTATTTTTTCACCTGGTCGGGACTTGCTTTACAGATTTCCCCTCTCTCGTTCTTAAGATATAATACGACCCTTTTGATTTCCTGAATTACATAGGGGCCTTCAAATTTTGGAGCTAGCTTTGCCGTAAAATTGTCTGGGGCACTTGATAAAGAAAATTTCCGCTTTCAATACTTTATCCCCAACTTTAAAATCTGCTTCACGGCGTTTTCTATCATAATAATGTTTTTGCTTATTTCTTGCCGTATCCGAGCTTTTAAGCGCCTGATCAATCAACTTTTTGCACATCTTTCTGTTTAAACTTCTTGCTCTCTTTGTTGCACAAAGAATAATTTATCTAAAGACGTAATTAACTTTCGGCCTAAAAATAATTCTGCTAGAGTTTTTCCCGTAGAATCATGATGTGCCGTTCTTAAAGCATAAGCTAATTCATTTATGTAGCCATCCCAGCGCTTGTGATGTGTGCTAACGTAACTGCGAATTATTTTTACAATGTTTTTATTAACTCTTTCTGCTATGTTAGCCTGTGGTCTATACGGAACCATTTTGATATGGCGTATGCCAAGTCCATTGCATATGTTTTCAAATATTTGACTAATGAATTGTTTTCCGTTATCGCTAATGACTTTTATCGGTGCACCGTATTTTAAAATGTATCTGTGTAAGAATGCATCTGCGACTGTTTTGGCTGACGCGCGTTTAAGTGGAACAATTTCTGTCCATTTTGAAAAATGATCTACTATTACTAAAAGAAAACGATTTTTATTTAACTCGCTCTGGGGGAAGGGACCAAGAAGATCTATGCCTAAAATTTCATTCGGAAATGTAGCGCGAATGCTATTTAAGTACCCGGTTTTTCTGAAAACAATTTAGCAAAATTACTCACCACTTGCTGGATGGCTTGCCTTTCATGGTCATTCAGATGGCTAAGGTCCAATTCAGGTGTCTCCACAGGTTCCACCACCCTCTGGTCCATCTCCAACACCACGGAACCGTCTTGAAAATTTAATTTGGCCCTCGCGGCCCTTAAAAAGTCCATACCTAAAATAAGAGAGTGTTGCAGGTGTTTTCACCACAAAAATTAATACTTTGAGATTTTCCTCTTTTACCTGTAAGTTTAATGATAATTTCCCGATGCAGTGACATGTTTTTCCTTGCGCCGCTATAATTTCCGTATTTCTGGTTTTAAATAATCGTATCCTATAAAAATTCTTTTTGAAGAACTTTTCACTCATAAAATTTCCTTCTGCTCCTGTATCGATGAGGGCTTCTACTGGTACATCGCCAACCAGGACTTGTATAATTGGTAGCTGTGAGTTTTTTACGATGACCGTGTTTAAATGTCTATTTGAGGGTTTTTTTTAAACTTCCGGGGTCTGGACCCTCCCTTTCACAGGCCCCTCTAGTCGTTTAAAGCTTTCCTTTCAATCTGTGTCTTCTGGGTACGCGGATGTTTATTTTCAAATTTTCTTTTTGGGCCTTGACCTTCGAGTTTCGATGCGTTAGCTTGATAGTTCTTTCCCCCATACGAGCGATTTCCATTTCTGGTTTCCTCCTTTGAAGATTTCCTTCGGGTACTTTGAGAATATGTTTCCCCTCTCGCTCTTTCCGCTATTCTGCGATTTTGAAACTTCACCGCCAATTCGAAAAGTTCCTGCAACGTGCTTGGGTTTCTAATTTCAAAGTAGTCTTGGACAGCGGGTAACAATCTTGGTAATATTATTTCAATTATCTCCGCATCGGGTTTTTTTCCATACAGCATATCCGTTAGCTTGATTTTTCGTAAAATAAAGTCCGTCAATTCTGCTGTATCCCGTTGGTAGAAACTATATAGTTCGGCTTCCAGCCGTGCGCGGTCTTTCACTATGGGGAAGGCCTTTACTAACGATTTTTTGAAATTTTCAAATGTATACGTCGGGCTTCCAAATTCACCTAGAAGAAATTTGCCTATATTTTTCCACCATAGCGCGGCCTGTCCTCTTAGTGCTGATGTGGCGATGGCAACTTTTTGTCTCTCAGGCACAGGGTAGAGCTGAAAGTGGTTTTCTAGACCTTCTAAAAATACCGCCACCGAATTTTTTCCGTCGA